AAAGATGATGCAGAATTCTCAAGGCAATGCGAACAGTGTCAGAAATACACATCCTTGCATTATCAGCCGGCGCAGAAGCAACGACCGTTAGTCAGTCATTGGTTGTTCTCCATGTGAGGACTAGACATTTTCGGGTCTTTTCCTCCATCTAAAGGCCAGAGGAAGTTCCTCTTGATGGTTATCGACTATTTTTCAAAATGGGTCGAAGCAAAGCCACTCACTCGAATCGATGCAGAGGCAGTTTGAAGTTTCACATGGTCCGATTTGATCTGCAGGTATGAGCTACTGCTGGTCATTATCACCGATAATTAGACTACTTTGCAGCCCAAAGAGTAAAGGAATTCTGCATGAAATAAGGGCTTGACTTGAAGTTTGCTTAGGTCCATCACCCTAGAATGAACTTGCAGAATTCTGCATGAAATAAGGGCTTGACTTGCTTAGGTCCATCACCCTAGAATGAACTTGCAGACTAAGACGGCTAACAAATTTATTTTAAACCTATTAAGAAAGAAGTTCGAGGGAGTCTAGGGAAACTAGGTAGATCAGTTACCGTTAGTGCTATTAGCAATCCAGACAACTCAATCAGCAATCGACCAAACTCTGTTCATGCTAACTCTTGGAATGGAGGCGGTGCTACAAGTCGAATACGATCGTCACAGCTAGAGGGTGGTCACAACCTCTTTATTTGTTGAGGAAGATCTCACTAATTGACAATAAGCTAACATCGAAGGGGCAATGTTGGCACTTGACTTCACAGAGAAAGCACAAACCAAATCGGTGCTTTGACAAGAGGAGATGAAGAGGCAAACAACACGTTACTTCAACAGACACATTCGAGAGAAGGTATTTGCCCCCGGAGACTTAGTCTTAGAGAAAGCCGACTTAGTCGTCCGAGGGAAATCTTTCGGAAAGTTGGACCAAACATGGAGTGGACCATACGTGATTAGTCGAAGAGTTTCTCGGGAGCTTACCGACTCAAGAAGCTCACCTGAAAAGAGCTCTCCTGGACTTGGAGCGAGGACGATTTTAAAAAGTTTTTTTCATAAAGGAAATTCTTGTGTATATATAACAAAAGGGGTTGTCGTCACCAATATGTAAAACATATTTAATTAATGAGATTTTATTTTTACTAATTTTATGCGAAGGAGTCAAATGTCTTTCCAACGCTCGGTAAACTCGATCAAATTGATCGAGTGATGGGTTGATTTTCAAAACTCAAAGATGCATCGGACAACCATTTCTGTCGGAAGATGATAACAAAACAAAGAACAAAGAAACAAAACACAACAAGAATAAAAAGATAAATTTATTCATTCCAATTGAAAGTTACAAGACACTTCCCATCAACAAACATATCAGTTACTCATTTTATATCTTTTGACTGAGACAACACCTTCGGAAGAGCAAAGGCCTTACGAGGGTTGCCAGGAGCTGGGCTCTTTCAAACATCATCATTCGAGTAAAAACCCTAAAAATCACTGTCGGGAAGAAGAGAAGAAAGCTCGGTCATCATGGTCAGCTACAGAAGAACATAAAAGTTCATTTCCTTAGGCAACACACCGTCGGGCGAATGTAATCCTCTTTTGGAATATGTTGGACCTATGCTTCATCCACGGATCATCACATCCGCCATAAAAGGGCCATCAACGACCGAAAACCTTGCGAGAAGTCAGTTGGCTTCTTTTTTCCAAGAATTTCGGCTTCGTTACGTATTCTCTTCGCTCGGCCTCAATCCAATCTCTTTTGCATCCATGAGCTTCTTTAATACGAATAAGAAGCAGAATGCAACCGGTTCGCCTGACTCCCGCTCTCTTCTAAACTTCTCCCGTGAAGAGGTGCAGTTCGAGAAAGAGAGAGGAGAAGCTGTCATTGTCGGAGGTGTCATGCCCTACTCTTGGACCGTTGGGATCCAGGGATCCAAAAACCTCCGAACAACTGGCGGCGACAGTCGAATGAATGTACTGACATCCCGGGAAAATGGACTCACCACCACCATTCCAGGAAGCCCACTACATTCGTTCGCAGAAAGGATCACCTATCGGGTGTCTACCTTGACTCGGGCGACGTTCGACACCCGAATTGGAAAAAATCTATCCCTTTGACACTCGACTTGAAGAAAAAAGAAACTGAAGTGTCAGGGCCTTGAAGGTCCATCGACACCCGTTGAAGAAAGGTTTTCCCCGCTCCTAGCCGAATAGAAAATCAGGCTATCTCACCAAATTTTTGCAAAGCCAGTACACTTGATGACATAGTAAGGAGTTGGAGAAATTCTCCCCCTTTTAACTAGAAGGAAGGTTCAACAATATTGAATGGGACCCAACCGCTGAAACGCTTGAGGGCCCACTTAAGGATGACTGCCCAACACATTGAAGGAACGTTTCGACAGTTGATTTTCTAAAAAAGGAAAGAGTTGTCACATTCAAACAGGCTTTTAAAGCATCCCTTAGCCGGAAAAGACATTAATTCAATGGGCCCATTCCCGATATTCAGAGAACTGAGCCCAAGCTGGCTTGTCTCAAACATTGTCTGATAAACTCGGGGAACTTACAACGGTAGAACAAATGAAATCGGATGGAGATCACAAGATGATCAAAAGGCTGAGCCATCCCTCGAACTGGACACCGCTAAAAGACCACTGGTCAGGACACATGAGGCGTTCTCTCATGCTTTCTAGCGACAAGATCCGTAAAAAAGACACAGGGTCCCTCAAAAGTCCTAAGTGGACACCCTCTCGGGCAACAACAAGATCCCTGCCTGACGGATGACAAAGGGTTAAAAGCTCGATCGAGCAGACAAATTCGGTGTAAGTCCTTGGAAGTCCACAAAGATGACCACATAATATTACCGTGAGACCCAACGATTCTAAAGACACCGATCGACTAATCGATCGCCCCAGGAGGTGGGCAATCTGTTGGGAAATTTAAAATGTCTTCCGGTCACGGGTTGACATTGTTTGTACAGTAGATTATCTAGGATTGACTCTCTTCCAGCTAGCGACAAAATTCTCATCAGGGCAGTGAAAGTCGCCCCGAAAACCTTGATCATCATCCTCTTAGGTAACAACAAGATCCGTGCCTGGAGAAAAGATCAATCGGGATTGATATACAATTAAAAGACGACATGTTGTCAGCACACGGGAGAAATAAGAGTTAATCGACCAAAGCACTATGACTAAATCGATTTCTTAGAATCCATGGGACTACCTAAGAGCAAGTCTCTCTAAAGAGTCGATGTCTCTGGTAAAATAAAAAGTTTCACAAACCAAAATAGCATAAATAATTATAAGAAGGCAAAAATTCTCTTTTTTTTCATATAACATTAAAAATACAACCATTTTAATTTTTAAAATTGAAATATACCTTTTCAAAGCATGTTATGGTGGCATGCAGGTAAAAATTGATGACGCCAAAATCTTGTGTGCTCATAAATTCACAGTTGCATAATTATATATTAACTTCTTAGTGTTGTACGAAGGTTCGACACACACACACACACAAATAAAAAATTGACAGATAAGACTGAATGTGCTTTTACGTGGAAAACCAGAAGGGAAAAAAAAACAATGAGACTTGGCTATGTTGAAATGATTCCACTATGTCGATAGAAGCTACAAAAGTTTATTGGTCTTTGAATAGCCCAAAGAAATGTTACACGAGTGGTACAAAACTTTCGCTAGAGGAGTAGTAGAAAACACTGGGGAAGTGCCAGCAACCTATTTGCAGTGAAAAAAAGCTCGCCTTAAGGGCAATGTGCCAAAAAATTTGTTGCTAATGTCTTTGTTATCAATGACCAGATGAAGGTGATAGGGAAGTGGTGATGTTGGTCCAGCGGTGACGGCGGCTAGAAAATGGTGGTCTGATAGTGACGACGACTCCATGGAGGTGGCCGATAATGGTTGGTGGTGGTGATGGATCAACGGTGGTAGCTAGGCAGTGATGGTGTGACAATTGTGGAGACTCAATGGTTGCAGATACGACAGTGGTTATCATTCTACTTTGCATTGCTTTTACTTGTAATATTACATTATTAAAAGGTAATTCTATTCACATGAAAATTGTCACGGCAGATGACAATGTGACTTCATTGATGTTTATTAATTATGTTGTCTAAATTAATGTTTTGCTCGATTCAAATTTCTGCGGTATATATATGTGAACAAATTTTTCATAAATTAAGAGGACATAAATTGATTCTTGGAACAAATAATTTTTTAATATAATAATTTGGTCATGAATAATTTCAGCAAGAACTTGTAGCTTTGCGGCACTAACCAAAACCAAAGTCAACCAACAATCTTTTTCGCAGTTTTGTCTGTTTGGGTAAACTGCATTTTGGCAGCTTTTTCAAAAAGCTTTCGTTGAAATCTGTGTTTTCTTACCACTCTTGATTAGGTGCGATGAAAACTTTATAGTTGTAGCCTTACTTAAAAAAGAATTGTAATAGCCGCCGCAGCTTTTTGAGCATCAGATTATTATTCATCAACTTCACAGTTTTTTTTTAATAAGTTGCAACTACCCCAAACAGACCCTTAGTCGTAACGAGACAAAAATCGTTATGTGAAGATTTTAGGATCAATTTGAACAATTTTCTATCTGTTTTGAGTTTTAGACCAGCGTCATAACTCTATTTAAAGAACTATTTTCTAAATTTTTTGTAGTAGAAAGTGATTTTTTTCAACCTCGACTATTAATATGCGATGACTGCAAGAAAATTGTTGTCTGATTTTTAATATATATATATATATATATATTTATATATTTATAATTCCTACCATTTTTAAAACACTATAGTCATTCTAAACAGACGCTCAATCGTCTCAAATTCTAATTTTAGATTCTGCCCCAAGAGAAAAAAAAATAAACACATAAAATTTACCAAGGTGATTTACCTTGAGAAAAAATAATTGTCATTTGGCACCCTTATCCTTCCAAATTAAATAAAAAAAAAAGAAAACTAATCAGAAAAAAACGATACCACTAAAAGTAAGAATGATTCCAAGCTGAAGAAACTTCCCACAATATTTATTTATTACTTTTCCCGACCCTTATGATCAATACAGTAAGACAACTGAAGAATATACAAATAGGGAGGCATATTTTGAACACCAACCAACGCAAGATTTATGCTCACAAACAGCCGATAAGGAAAGCAAACAACATAAAATGCACCATTTACTCTGTCCCCATTATCCACACCAAAGAAAGACAGAATAAACAAATGCATCTGTTGGAATCCATTTGATTATGCAATCAGACCGTTAGATTCTACAATTATTTCTTCTTCTTTTGAATTTAGGGAACTTCACTTCACATGTAAAGCTTCCTTTGGCCTCCCCAAGAGGGACAAGACCGTCGCCATGATGTGGTTCGAAGAAAGTCCTGCTTCATCAATCTGATCTTGTGGTGATCCATGATCTATGTATCTATCAGGAAGAACCAATGATCTCAACTGCAGCAGTAGAAATAATTGTTGTTGTTAGAATAGGAATAAGAAATTTTTCTTTTTTTTTTTTTTTTTTTTTTGAATTCTACCCCTGCCTCCTCAAGGAGAAATATTTATACCTTGAGATGGCCATCAAGGAGACCATCCAAGCTTAAGAAATGAGTAACATGAGACCCAAAACCTCCAATAGATCCTTCTTCAGCTGTGATCAGAAACTCATGCTCCTTTGCCAGTCTTCTTATGAGATCGACATCCAGAGGCTTGCAGAATCGAGCATCGGCCACAGTTATCGAAATATTGTGATCTCTTAACCTTTTTGCAGCCTTCAAACAGTTCTGAACAATAGACCCATATCCGAGAATAGCGACTCGAGTTCCTTCGACGAGAACTCTCCCCTTTCCAATCTAATTAACACGGGGCAAAGTAATATTGAGCTTGGGAAGCAGTTATGAACAGTGGTTATATATATGAAGGATTTACCTCAAGAGGAATGCCTTTGTTTCCAGTAGGAAGGGGAACTCCGACTCCGTTTCCTCGAGGAAATCTGAAGCAGCTTGGTCTGTCATCAATGGCTGCTGCTGTTGCAACCATGTGCATGAGCTGGGCTTCATCAGATGGGGCCATGACGATCATATTTGGCAAGCAAGCCATGTATGTGATGTCGAAAGCTCCGCAATGGGTTGGTCCATCGGCACCGACGAGGCCGGCTCGGTCCAATGCGAAGCGGACGGGTAGCTTCTGTAAATCGACATCATGTGCCACCTTGAAGAGTAGACACATACACATGGGTTTGTTAGATGGCATGGTTTGTGTAGGCGGAAAACTCTTGAAGTTGATAATAACTTTAAGATATTTTAATCTCTACGGCAATGTTTGGTGGCATACTATTAGCAAGATTTAATCATGAATTTAACTTCAGTTCAACCAAATAAAAAAAAATGAAAATTAAAACCAATGTCCCACTAAATCGAATTTTCTTGCATTTCGCCTATTAAATCCATTATTCTGTCATCACCAGCGAGCTCCTCTCTCTATGACTGAGTTGCATCCAAACACTGCTTAAATTATATAAAATGAAACACCCTTTTTCACATGTATAAACTTCATAATTTGGACATTGGGATGTCATTTTCATATAGGAAAATATAATGATTGAAGTGATAAATATGTAAAATTGTAAATGCATAAGAATTTTGTAGAATGTTGGTAAATCCCCCTTTTTCTTAATGCAAAAAGCGGCTTTTATTTGAAATTTTGAGAATTTCTAGTACAAAGCGGATAAATGGGTGAAAGAAATGAAGCCTAAAGCTTCCTTCTGAACAGAAGAAGTGTGGGATGGATAATTTCCATTTTATATTTTTTATAAAATTTATAATATGCATTTTGAACCTTGAATGATTAACTAATCATGTTTTTTTTGACTTTTTTTAAGTTTATTTTTTATGCAAAACAAGCACAGAAAGCTTAGTAGAACCTGAATTACCTCCCAAAACAAAAAGGTAAGCTGTCATCTTCAAATAGTAGTAAGGAAAGCGAATTAACTAAATTATTGCCACCATTATAGTTTTGAACAGAATACAGTAAGGGCCTACTTGGGTGTCTGTAGTTTCTGAAAAATTAGATTGTAAAATTGTAGCTGAGAAAACAACTTTTTATAAAACTGCAATAAGAATTATAAATAAACAATTCCAAAAGACCAAACAACGACTTTATTAATAGACTAGGTTGAAAAAAATAGTTTCCCATCACAGAAATTCCAATAAAATAGCAAGAAAATAGTTTCTCAAACAAAACTATACTACGATAACCATGATGACGACTAAGCACAACCCAAGCAGAGAAAGTTCTGTAGCAACAGTTTTTACCTGATCATAGCCTCTTTGGAGGAAAGATGAATATATAGCACAGAAAGGCTTGTGAGCCCTTCGGTAGCCAGGTAGCCAGACCTGCAGCGAAAGTAACAGCATGCTGCTCTGCAATTCCAACATCAAAACATCTTTCAGGGAACTTCTTCTGAAAATAATTAAGTCCTGTGCCCCCTCCCATAGCGGCATGGATGGCCACAATCTTACTATCCTCTTCAGCTTCCCTTATAAGCGATTCTGCAAAGTACTGCGTGTATGAAAGAGTGGCTTGCTTCGGTTTCTCCTGTTTCCCTGTCCTCACATCAAACTTAACTACACCTACAAGAAATGAGAATGATAAGTAATGATACAATGATGAAACATATCTGAATCTATTGATTAGTGGTCTTCCATGCACAATTGCAAATGAGAATCAACCACTTAGAGTGAGATAATTACCCTATTTATACTTGACTTTATATATTTTATTTTAACTCATCATTAAAAGTAAAATAAACACTTGATCTCTACACAATATAAATTTTATGCGCAAATATTAAGACCGTCGCATAAGTCAAATAATTAATTATTATGTGATCACAATTTTAATATAACTATAAAAATTTAAGATATCGCATAATATATAATTATCATATATGGACCTATATAAAAAAATTTTCGAACAATTATTTCATACAATTAAAACAAAGTTAACTCGGGATGTGTTTGGGATATCGGTGTGATGGTTGTGCAGTGCCTATGGGTGTAAACGAGTCAAGTCAAGTTCAAGCTCAGCTGGAGCTTGAGCCAGATTAATTTTATCGAGCCTGAGCTCAAGCTCGAGCATAAGTCAATGAGTTGGAGCCGGCTCTTATAAAGTAGTGTGATAATAAAATGACAAATAAAATGAACAATTAGGAGAAAAATACTATGAAATCATTTAATATAAAATAAAAAATATTTTTTAAAATATTTTTAATACTTTAAATATAAAGTCTTCAAATTTAATATATTTTGAGTGTGCATATTTTCTATTAATATTTATTTAAATGAGCTGGCTCACGAGCAAACGAGTCGAGTCGGGGCTAGCTTAAGCTTGACTTGTTAGCTCCTCGAGCTCAATTCACGAGCCACTTATCGAGTCGAGTCGGCTTAACCCTTACATCCCAAGCGGAGCCGCACCACAATTTTTTGTGTTTGATAAAATTGTATTTGCCTTCTTTTTCAAAAAATTATATTTTGCAACCTAAACTAATTAAGTGGTGGTTGTTAAAAAAGCTATGGTCTAACTTTTAAGCAAAATAATTGTAATAGTCATCGGAGTCTTTTGAACATTAACTTTTGCAAACCATTGGTTTCGAGATAAAACGTGAATTATTACCATGCATTTTATCGGCGGCGGGCCCGGCCGGGGGGGGGCGCCTTTCTTTCTCGCGGTCCAAAGAGGGGGGAAGAGGGACATGGATGAGAACTGGGCCAGGAGCAGGCATGGACTTCACCTTCTGCAAAATTGTCACCAAATGGTCGACGTTATGGCCGTCCACTGGACCAATGTAGTACAATCCAAGCTCCTCAAACAGTGAAGATCCTGAAGCGCTAATCATTCCTCTCGCATATTCATCCATTTTCGCGGCAACTTCATGCGTATGTCCACCAATTTGCTTCGTGATGCTCTGCTCAAATAATATAAATTAGAACAGAGAGAGAGCGCGAGCACATGTTTTGTTATAAAAAGTAAAAAAAATGATTTATATTCAAGTAGTTGCACAATATTTGAAGTTGATTTTTGGCCTGACAGCCATGAGCTCCACGCTCTGTATTTTTTAAATATTAAACAGAGCCAAAATTTATTCGGATTTGAAATTAACAGCGATATGTGCCAATAAATCCGCGATGGCCATGATTCGTCAGAGTTCGATTCACACACTAAATATTAATCTTAATGCGCTTGAGACTCATTTTTCCAAAAAAAAATAGAATGAGGTTAGACCAGCATAAACTCATTCCTTGCAGGCATCTTTTTTCTTCTTGCTATTTTTTTGTCGTTTACATGCATTAATTACATAAATCACCAAGTACATGTAAAAAAAAAAAGAAAAGATTTTGATCTGTGAGCAACATGATGAAAATGAATTCAAGGCTATGCTGATAAAACTGTGATTTTTAACAAAACATCAAGATCCCATTTTGGTTGCTTTTAATCATAAAAAAAAATGCTATAATGAAACTGGTGAAAAAATTTTGACTCGATTAAAGGAATTTGTAGATTTTGAAATGAAAATTAACCTTTTTCTTAAATTCAAAAAGACCTTAAAATGATCACCTTTGCGGCTTCCCGAAGTTTTCTGAGCTTGGTGCTAGACTGGAGCTTAGAGAGGGCTCCGCTGAGAGCTCCCACCGGTGGTGCAGGCCCATCAATGGTGGCCGTCGGAAGAGATACTTGTTTGTTATCATTGAGCACGATTATGAGATTGGAATCCAAGAAACCTGAGTTGTTCATAGCTTCATAAGCTTGTCCGGCCGTCATGGCTCCATCTCCAATCACAGAGATGACATGGTGCTTCTTGCCCAACAAATCCCTCCCAACCGCCATTCCTAAAAATACATCAATTACTAACTTTAATGGAAAAAAAGGAAAAAAAAAACTTGAATTTGATAAAACAAAGCTATCATACATACCAAGTCCTGCAGAAATGCTTGTAGAGCTATGACCAGCCCCAAAAGCATCGTAGATGCTCTCTTCCCTTTTCGGGAAACCAGCAAGCCCAGATGTCTGCCTTAGAGTTAACATCCTTGACCTCCTTCCTGTCAAAATTTTATGCGGATATGCCTGCAAAAATTTAATGTTTTCAAACTCAAGCGCTGTGCGCTGACAGAAAAAATTTAGACAGAATAATGAATGGTTCCATCTTCTGCAACCTGATGGCCGACATCCCAGATGATCTTATCATGAGGAGCATTGAAGACATGATGAATTGCCACAGAAAGCTCCACCACTCCAAGACTAGCGCTCAGATGCCCCCCGGTTCTAGACACTGTGTACACTATCTCGGCTCTTAGTTCTGCCGCAAGTTGTTCTAAATCCTACAGAGGATAGATTCATCAAAGAGGAAGGGAAAAAGATGATGAAAAAAAATAGTTTCCATGTGGAAAAACTGAGTACATTAACCGAGAGATTCTTCATGTGGATGGGATAGTTGATGGTATCCAATAAAGGAGTCTTCGGCTTCTCCCCTGAGAAATCAATCTTCCGCTCACGCTTTTCTTTTCTAACTACAATCTCCTGATCCCCATCGCCGCGCCCTGCTCTCACACAAACCTGAAAAAAATTTGATCTTTTTTTTTGTTAAAAAGAGAAGCCAAAAAGTGAAACGGGAAAGGGATGGATATAAAAGGTTTTATTTTCCGCAAGCTCAGGAAGGAAAGTGGAGAATGGTGGGATCTTTCTTGTCTTAACAATACCTGACGCCGAAAGCCGGCGGTAGGTAAGATAGCCGGCTGAGAAAAAAGGCAATTGGGGGCCATTGGTGATGTGCATAAAGCCATTGCAGTAAGGAGACTACGTCGACGAAGGAGACGAGGAGAGGAAGGGTTGAGTGGGTTGTGAATAGCAATTGAATTAGAGGAGGTGATGTTTTTATAGGAGAAAGTTGCAGAAGTGGCGCTAGTGGAGGAATGACGAAAGTAGTGTTGGGATTCCTCAAAGAATTCCCAATAACACTGCCGAATAGATATTTTCTGAAAAATTTAAAAGAAAAAAAACACAAAACTATATGACTATACATTTCGCTATATAATTCAAAAAATTTTATGAAAGAATCATAATTTTTTTGCATATTCATGCAAAGAAATTTACATGATGCTTCACAATCTTTCTTCTTCGATCCGATGTGAACAACACACGCTAAGATCTCAAAAATCTTCCTTTTCTTCTCCTCTCATGAATGAAAATTGGCTTAAAATTGAAAATCTCGATTTAACTGCTCCTGGGTGTTAGGGCTGTCAATTTGACTCGTTGTTCGTGAGCAGCTCGTGTTCGGCTCGTTAAGCAGCTCGTGTTCGGCTCGTTAGGCTTAACGAACGAGCCGAACACGAACAAATTTTTAAGCTCAAAATGTAAACGAGCCGAACACGAACAACAGTTTGTTCGCTCGTGTTCGGCTCGAAATGGCTCGAAAAAAAAATTATATGACTTTTTATATAACAATATATTACATATATTATTTATATAATAATATATTATATATATTTATGTCTAAATTTAAATCATAACACCTCATATGACAATGTGGTTAGTGTCTTCTTTTGTATACATTTGATCCAAGGTCGAATCCCACATTTTACATCTATTTTTCTTAATTTTAGTTTAGCGAGCCAATTTCGAGCCGAACACGAGCCGAACACGAACACGAATATTTAAATTGAGCCGAACACGAACACACTGTTCACGAGCCGATTTCGAACACGAGCTGATTTCGAACACGAGCTATTTCGAACGAGCCGAACACGAGCCAAGCCTGAGCTCTCAAAAGCTCTGCTCGTTTACAGCCCTACCTGGGTGTTTATGATATGATATACACCAGTTGATGTGGTACATATATAAATCAAACAGGAGAACAATCGACGAAGAAAAAAATAGAACGAGAAAAATCACACCCGAAAAGAACATACAGATTTATGTGATTCGGCAAATTGCTTACGACCACAAAGTTACAGAGGATTTTAATATTTGAGGAATTTGCACCAGTCGATCACCTCGACTTACAAGAGAAATATTTCATTTCGTTGATGTCTCTTCTTCTCTCTATGTTCTTCTCTCTCTACACCGAGATACATCGAAGAAACACTACACCGAGATACATCGAAGAAGATAAACATACAAGAGAAATAAAACAAATTTCTTCTGTCACAAGCTACTAAGAAGAAGTCAAGGGAGAAAAATCTCTTCTTCTTTCTTCTTCCTTTTGCTGTAAGAAACTACCTCTTGCACTTCTCTTCCTTCTATCCTGAGGAAGCCCAAGGAAGAACACCAATCATGACTTCGAAACCCAAGGAGAGTCATCCGAAGTTTTTTATCGCGAAACCGGGCGACGCGGGAGCGATAGAGCGGGAGCAAATCGCGTAACCGTAAGGTCGCGGTTACAACCTTTCGCGATCTAGGTAGGCGGGAGCGGGCGCTTCGCGAATCGACGTCAGACATAGACGGGGCGGGAACGGGAGATCGGTCTCCAGCATAACAAATCTCCAACTTGGAGATCGATACACAGGCTACAACGTCTTCTTTCTCTAACTGATATCCTCAACTGGCGGTGTTGCCCTTTTTCTTCAAACATGAATCCTCAACCATGAATCCTCCACCATTAATACTCCACTATGAATCATCAATCTCTACAACTCAAAGCATATATCTTCACTTTAGAAGTCTAACTGAAGTTGTGCACAACTTCAGCTTCTTAAGAGTAACACCATTAGTCAACATATCATTAATGTCTAAATAGTCTTGCACCTCCAAGCTATCTCCTGAATTACTCTTGTCTCTATTTACAACTCCCACTGCATGGACAATATCATGCCTCTGCTGAAAGCTTTTTTTCAACAAGTCTAGTTTTATACCTCTTACTGTCACCACGCTCAGTCTTCACCTAACACACCCACTTGTTGTGTAATGTCTTCTTCTTTGGTGGAAGTTCTGCCAGCTCCCACTTGCTCAAACTTTCATCTTGCAAGATTTCATCATTGCTCTGTAGTTCTCCACTATATGTGGAACAATAGGAATGGGTGCCCCGGACCCACTATCCTCTTCATTTCCATCATCAACAGAACTATGAATTGCCAGCAATATTGCATCTTATACTTCTTCTGATACCACATTTGCGCTATCATTCTCAATCTTCTTGGGATTCCCGCAGTTCCTCTTTATGTTGCTAGCCTTGCCACAATTTCAGCAGATTGTCTGTTGACCAGAGTTTGATTTTGATCTCCCTCTATTTGATTTCATGTCTTGTCATCTCTCTCTGAAATCAACATTCAATGTTGAACTCGTACATGAGATCTCGCCAGAATCTTTCTTGCGCACCTCCTCAGCCAAAATCAAATCACGAATATCATCACATTTCAATTTAGATTTACCTGCAGAACTGCTAACTACCATCCACCATCCCTAACTACCATCCTCATGGCTTTCCAATTATTTGGCGACGATGCCAACAATATCAGCGCATGTATCTCATCATCAAAATTAATTTCAACAGACGATAATTGATTGAGAAATATCTTCCACCATCTTCAAATTGAATAACTTCTTCATCAAGCACACATTGTTATTCACCGATGGCTTTTCATACATACCTGATAAGCCTCCCATTAGATCTGACGACGTTGTGTGCGACGGACCTCGATAGGGTCAATTGAATAACCCTCAGAACTTTTCGATCCAACAAATTCTATTCATCCTCATCCATCCTTTCAGGTTTTTTCTCCAATAACGGAAGATGAAGTTTCTCCCCATACCCCATAGAGGTAGTCCTCTATCTTGTATTCTCCAATAAATAAATTCTGTGTCATCAAATTTCTTGATTCCTAAAACCTTCACTTTAGCTGCAACCATCATTCTTCCTCAGATCCGAACAAAGCTATGATACCAGTTATTGATGATATGATATACACCAGTTGATGTGACATATATATAAATCAAACAGAAGAATGATCAATGAAGCGAAAAATAGAACGAGAAAAATCACACCCGCAAATTCCATTCCATTTCCCCATCCGGCGCAATCAGAGCCGTCCGTGTGATACACGCGCGATCCAACGACACTCGGTCATCGTCCCCAATAGAGCCAACTCGCAAACCGTCCATATTCTAGGCATATTATCTAGCTCGATACTCAATCAAATTAAGTGAGGTTTGTTCCTATAGATTCGTCTTGACTAGGAAAACATATTCATACGGTTAATCAACCCTTAAATCAACTCTATGCACATGAACAATCAAATGAAGATCGGTTTAGGGTTAAGTTTCAATACCTTGGTCCAAGATGGGAAGCCTCGATTGGATGCTTGTGGAAGCTTTATGGGGTCCCAAGAGCCTAGGGATGGAGCCTCAAGCAGTGGTGAATCGCCTAGATATGATTTCGACCAAAGTTGATTTGGGGTGTTGGTCAAAGTTCACCTTAAGGTGCTATGGTGATGGGGCTTTTGTGGGGGATCTTCTTCTCTTGATGCGGGGATGGTATGGGTGCAATCAATTTTGATTTGGTGGAGGTTTGGTGAGTGTTCTCTTTCAACCTAGTGATTGGGCTCCAGAATTGGGCTCAAGCAGTGGATTTGAGTGTCTAGGGATGGTTGGGTTGAACTCAAGAGGTCTTAAGAAAGCTCTGGGAGCAATTTGACAGAGTCTCCCCAATGAATTTCAAGCTCTCCTCCTTTAGCCATAGAGGGTGGGTTTAAATAAAGGGAGAAGGTGAGGCCACCAGGAGCATTTGGTGGGTGCCCTATGTTGCTCATGTGGATGCCAACGATGTGCAAAAATCCAATTGGGATGAGCCAACTTGGATGGATTTAATTTTGAGTTTTGGCCATGTTGGAGCTTTTGATTTTGGGTTTTCCGGCCACTAAGGTGGCTGACCGGCTAGGGAGGGGTCACCATCCAACTCAGGGAAGTCAGGGCTTGGTCTTGGTGAAGTCAATTGGGGTTGGTCATGTGTAAAGATATGAGATTGACACAGTATGAGAAAAGGGCCATTTTGGGTCAAATTGGGTCAATCATGGTTTGGGTTGGGTTCAACCACCAAGGTTAGTCTTGAGCTGAAGAGGATCAGATGGGTTAGCTAAATTGGTGTAGAGAGATCCCCATCCAAGTGATTTGGCTAAGTATGAGGTATAGAGGAATCATTAAAAGGGTTAAAAACCTTTTTAAAGAAGTTCGAAAGTGGCTTGTCCCCTTTCCATTAATAGTTTGATGATGTGGCAAGACTCTCATGGCTTTTCTATGACTTGAGAGTGGCTTCATGGCTTGCATGTGGCTTCGTTAATTTTCATGAGGAGGGATTTTGGATTTTTTTTGGTATTTTTGGTGAATTTTGGCTTGATGCTTGATTTGGAATGCTTTGATTTTGGATTTAGAACTTTAGGAGTGAGATTTAGAACTTTATAGAACTTTAGGAGTGATTTTGATTGAATGGATGATGGGGATAAAATTCATCATGTGGGCTTTTAATTGAATTTAGGCTTTTTGGAATGACTTAAGGATTTGGGCTTTTAAAATGGAAATTGATTTTGTGCTAAAATTTGGGCTAATTGAATGTTGAGTTTGGTGTAGGAATATGTCATGAAGAATTTGACAAAATTTCAAGTGATTTTGAGTTGAATTGATGGGCTAATTTGATGAATTTAAGCATATGGTCAAAATTGGGCCTTTTTTTATTTGAAGAAATTAGACTTACAATTGAGTCAAATTAGGCTTGAATTTTGTTTAGAATTGAGTTAGGGATGCTGAATTTTGATTTGGAATTGAAATTGGACAAGATTGGGTTCAATGGGGCTAAGATTGGGGTTATTAAGATTGGGGCTAATTTGAGGACATTTGAGCCTTTAAGGTCAAATTGGGGCTTTTGGTCAAATTGAGTCTGTCGGCACTATTTTTGGTGTGGGGTTTGCCCGTAAGAAGCTGTCG